ACACACACACACACACACACACACACACACACACACACACACCGGCCTGGGTCTAAGTGTAAGTCTTCTCATTGACCTGAGACAGCACCAGGATCTTTAAAATGAATTGCAATGGGCAAGAGTTCACTTTCTGTTTCTCACTGTGACTCCCTTCAGAAACAAACCTATCCTTGCTTGTTCTGAAACAACTAAGTTTGGCCTCAGACTCCTAGACACACAGCTTGACCACTGTTCTGTTCTTTCCTTGACTCAGCCCTCTGCAAAACCCATCCCAAATCCTGAGTTTTTAGAGTAAGAGCATTGGGCTTTTGGGGTAGAAGCCCCAGGTCTTCTGTGAAGAATAGTTGGGGGAAGGCGAGACTGTTACTTTAACTTCAGCCAAGGGTGGTGGAGAAGCTCTACACTTTCCTGGGGGTATCCTGCATAAAATGAAGCTTCCTAATGCTACAACCCTTTCATACAGTTCCTCATGTGGTGATCCCCAACCATAAATTATTTTCATTGATACTATAACTGTGATTTTGCTACTGTTATGAAGCATAATATGTTTAGAGATTTGCCAAAGGGGTTGTGACCCACAGGTTGAGAACTGCTGATCTAGACAATCTCTCACTGAGACTCTCCTGGGGGATTCTAGGTTGTTTTAAGTTAACAAGTGAAATTAACTATCACGAAAGGTCTCATGGCTCCTGGGCTGGCCTTGAATTCCCATGTAGCTGAGGGTGCCCTTCAACTCTTATCCCTCCATCTCTACCTTGAGAAGCATGATCCCAGGCATATGCCACTATGCCTGGTTTTATACAGTGCTGGGGATTGAATCCAAGCTTTCAAGCATGGTAGACAGACTCTCTACCATCGGAGATCCCGTTCCTACTTCTGGGGTTTTGTTACTGTTCTCATAGCTCTTGGGTGAATCTCTCTTATTCATTGGTCTTGTCCGCTTTCAAGTTCTAAGACTTTTTACAGTTAGGATTCATGAACTGTTTGGACCAGAATTAGTAAGAATGTTTATTATAAAATGCAATTTTAGAAGATAAGTGGGACCTGAGCCAAGGATTGAATGTTTTTCAGATAGTCTTATGAATTCTAAGCTCTAAGGAATGCCTAAAGATACCTGTGTTCTGTTGGTCTCACCTCCCATCTCAGTCTTCATTCCCAAATCCAAGAGCTCTAATTTCATTCTTAGATTGTTTGTTCACATATTTATTTTTAAAAAGGAGAATGAATCAAGTACAGTGACTAGAGCC